TACATTGGAGGCTCAGAGTCTTAACCACTGGACTTCCAGGGAAGTCCCCAAAACAAGCATGCCTTTTAATACATGCTCAACAAGCACAATTCTACACTTTTTCCTCAAAACAACCTGAGTTTTTGGATTACTGTCTCATTCAAAAAGTTAAATTAAGATATAATATTACATATTCTTACAATGGTTTTACATATGATTTTCTACAGGAAACTGATAAATATGAATTCAATCAATTTTCCACATCAGTCTCATTTGTAAAATTCTGTAATATTTCTTTATTAATACTTGTTTGATTTATCCATTTTAAATTCTAAAAATATTCTATTTTGAGAAATATACATGATACTTAATTTTGAAATATATACTATTATTCAATTAGATCAGCCTTTATTAAATCTACTATGAAAGCAAGTACTTGACTTGAGCTGCTGGGTTATATTTAAATTTACATACTCAATTAGAGGACTGATATTTAACATAATTTATTTTAAAAGTAATTTATTAATTGACTTCTAATTGGCCTGCATGAATGAATACACCTTCCATGGTGAGCCAGAATGGGGTATACAGTCCAGTAGTCAGAAAGACCTGGATTCTAGACCTAGCTCTGTTTTCCCCTGGTTTTGCATACTCTGGGCAAGTAGCTTCCTGTCTCACAGAGCCTGAGTTTCCTCTTCCATTAAATGTGCATAACAGTACCACCCACCTCACACAGCAGGAACGCAAGGACTAAGGACCAAGCCTGGCACATATCAGTGTGGTCAATAAATGTCAGCTATTATACACCAGACGGAATTCCCATGTAAAAAATGCTGAAATGTTCTTTTATTCACCATTTGCTCTGAAATAAAGAAAGTGGCTTTATTTCTGTTTCACAGATGACAAAGTAAGAATAGAGACAGTTGAATGGAGAGTCAACTTACTGACTCAGGTGCATACAGCTGAGGTGAAGCAGAAAATCACCTTGCTGTTCAGACAACTCAGGTAATTTAAGGTCTGATATTACTATTGTTTCTAAAAGGGGGGTTTTCTTTTTTTTTTAACAGAAGTAAAAAAGAAACTTTGATCAAAGTCATAAGAATGCACAAAAACAGACATATGGATCAATGGAACAGAACAGAGTGCCCAGAAATAAGCCCAGGCACTGGCGGTCAATTAATTTTTGACAAAGGAGGCAAGAATATACAATGGAGAAAAGGTAGTTTCTTCAGCAAGAGGTAATGGGAAAGCTGGACAGTCACGTATAAACCAATGAAGTTAGAATACATCCTTATACTATACACAAAAAGAAACTAAAAATGACTTAAAGACTTAAATGTAAGACAGGATACCATAAAACTACAAAATAACATAGGCAAAACATTCTCTGACATAAATAATCAGACTATATTCCTAAGACAATAGAAATAAAAGCAAAAATAAACAAATAGGAGCTAATCAAACTTACAAGCTTTCGCACAGCAAAGGAAACCCTCAATGGAACAAAAAAACAATCTACAGATGGGGAGAAAATATTTGAAAATGAAGCAAACAACAAGGGCTTAATTTAAAAAATATACAAACACCTCATACAACTCAATAACGAAAAACCAAACAATTCAATCAAAAAATGGGCAGAAGATCTGGAGACAGTTCTCCAAGGAAGACATACAGATGGCGAATAGGTACATGAAAAGCTGCTCATCATCATTAACTGTTAGGGAAATGAAAATCAAAACTCACATGAGTCAGAATGGCCATCACCAAAAAGTCTACAAATAATAAGTGCTGAGGACATGGAGAAAAGGGAACCCTCCTGCACGGTTGGTGGGAATGTAAATTGATGCAGTCACTGAGGAAAACAGTATGGACATTCCTTGAAAAAGTAAAAACAGAATTGCCATATGATCTAGCAATCCTACTCTTGAGCACAGATCCAGAAAAGATAAAAATGTTAATTTGAAAAGATACATGTTCATAGCAGCACTATGTATAACACCCAAGACATGGAAGCGATGTAAGCATGCACAACAGATCAATGGATAAGAATGTAGCATACATATACAATGAAATATTGCTCAGCATAAAAGAAAATGAAACAATGCCATTTGCAGCATCATGGATGGAACTAGAGATTATCATACTAAGTGAAATAAGTCAGAGAAAGACAATACAATATGATATCACTTATTTGTGGAATCCAAAAAAAAAAAAAAAGATACAAATGAACTTATTTACAAAACAGAAACAGACTCGCAGACACAGAAAACAATCTTTTGGTTACCAAAGGGGAAGAAGGTGGAGAGATAAATTAGTTTGAGGTTAACAGATAAAAACTACTATACATAAAACAGATAAAGAACAAAGTCCCACTGTATAGCACAGGGAACTATAGTTAATATCTTGCAATAACTTATAATGGAAAAGAATCTGAAAAAGAACATATATACATGCACACACATAACTGAATCACTCTTCTGTATACCTGAAACTAACACAACACTATAGATTTAATATATTTCAGTTTAAAAGGGCAAAAATATTCAAAAGAATTAGTGCCATTTATAAATTTTTAAAAAAAGAAAAAGTCAAGGATGAACACAGGCGAGAGCTGCGTGTTGTAGTTCTGCTTTTGAAGTAGGAAAAGGCCTTTTGCCCATTAACTTGGTGGGTGTAAAAGGGACTTTCACTAAGTGGAAATTCATTCTGTGATGCCAACTATATCAGAACAGCAGACTGGATAATGTTCAGGTTTGAAATAATTTTGAAAACTCAGTTTAAAATGGAAATAAGTACCTCACATTCCCTCCTTTTCCCCCTCTTATTCCTTTAGAAACATAATGTGTGTGTTTTTTTCCCTTCCACTCTTTATAGGCAAATTTATGGCACTCATAAAATTTTAGACTAAGTTGGAAGGAAACTAAGAGGACATCTAGTTCAATCCTTTTGTTTTAAGGTAGAGAATGATGCCCAGAAGGGATCTAAAATCAAAAAAAGCCAAAATGAGCCTGGGACCAAGTGTCCTAACACCCCATCCGCTACTCTTTCCACTACAAGGGTATCACTTGGGCCAGGCAGACACCCTAGTCGTCCACGTCCACAGCAGACACCAGCCATCGCATCATTGCCTCCTTCTCACTTTCACACCTTAGCATCCTCAAGTCATCACATTCAACCTGGCTGCTGACTGTGACAGTGGCCATGCCCCCAGTGACTTAGTAAATGTAAACTCAAAACTTCCAGCTTAAACTGTGAAGGCCATTTTTCTTCCTTCCATTTTCTCTCTTAAGTTTCAGGAATACTTAAATCTTTAAGAGCAGTACACACGTGTGTGCTCAGTTGCTCAGTCACGTCCCACTTTTTTGCGACCCCATGAACCATAGTCTACCAGCTCCTCTGCCCATGGAATTCTCCAGGCAAAAATCCTGGAGTGGGTTCCCATTTCCTCCTCCAGGGCATCTTCCTGACCCAAGGATCAGACTTGCGTCTCCTGTGTTGGCAGGTGGGTTCTTTACCATTGACTCACCAGGGAAGCCCCTTAAGAGCACTAATGATCTTTCAGAAAACATCTGAATTTTATACACTAAAAATGCGGTTGGAGACTGTGAGATAAATTTACTTTGTCAAAAATTTTAAAATAAATATAAGCAAAATTAATCTACGGTGATAGAAATCACCAGAAATTGGTTGCTTGGGGAGGGGCCAGTGGGGTGATAGAAATGTTCTATATCTTGATAAGAGATATAGTCAAATTATATACTTAAGATCTGTGCATTTCACTGCGTATAAATTATAGCTTTTAAAAACAATCTAAATCATTCATATACAAAATTCTGGTTTTAAAATTCTAATCTAAAGGAGGCACTTGAATGGCAATTCAGTTGGTGAGAGGCAAAGACCAAACTGATAGAGATCTTTCAAAGTCATCAGAGCTAAGTGCATTTTTGTCCAACTATTCATGAAAATAATATCCACTGTGCCAGAAATCATGTATAAGGTAAGCTAATCAAGAGTTTCTTTAAGGCTACACAGATTAATGCATTCTGCCTTAATAGGAATGACAGTATTATTTAAGAGCTGTCTACACTATTGTGATAACATATCTGCTGATCTGCCTTACACTGAAGTGCATTTAGAATTTAGTAACAGAACTTCATCCACAGAGAATTTAAGACCATTATAAATAAGGAAGATACGGTTTAATATAGTGCACTAATTAGGTTTTCACATTTCTATCTTCTGTATTACTTTCCTATCAAAACTTGGGAGTGTATGACATTCTGCCCATTGCATATCATTTCTGGTAACAGAGTTTTATTTGCCTACTAGATTGCTAATTTTTAAAATTTTTACTGGGGTATAATTGATTTACAACATTGTGTTTGCCTACTAGATTGCCAATTTTTAAAATTTTTACTGGGGTATAATTGATTTACAACATTGTGTTTGCCTACTAGATTGCCAATTTTTAAAATTTTTACTGGGGTATAATTGATTTACAATGTTGTGTTTGCTGCAAGAATTCAACAAAGTAAATAAGATACATATATCCACACATTTTTTAGAGTCTTTTCTCAATAGGCCATTACGGAGTATCAGTAAAAGAGTTTTGACAAAACAAGAGGAGTATTGAAAAGGAATAAAAAACTGGCTCTTTCCTAGCTGACAAGTAAGCACAAGATGTTGGCTCAGGAACCACAGGTGGACAGGAGCACAAATTGGTTAAAGATCGTGCTCTGTTAGTTCTTACTGCCATAAGACAGAGAGTGGGGAAGAAGGCAAATTCAGAGTTCAAGTTATAGCCAGACAAGGAAGACAAATTCCTCACCTCATTCAGCAAAGTGCATTGAAAGATAAATCTTAGCACACGTTAGTAAAAGGCCTGGTACAGTATCTAATGCAATGATAAACAGTAGCTGTTTAAGAAAACAGTTTGTCTTATTACTAACAAAGCATCCACAGGAGAGTGACCCTCGCTCCCCTCCAAATACCAAATGTGGTATCTGGTACCAGATACGTACCAGATCTGGCTTCACTCGGTAAGTCAGGGGGAAGGAGAGCCACATGGAGTACAAGGTGGTGAGCACTGAGGATAGCCAGGATTGCTGGACCTCCCGGCTTCTGGGAATGCGGTGAACATAGTATTCAGGAAACTGGAAGGAAATAGCAAAAATCCAAATCAACTGGGCCACTGATACGGAAGTTAAACATAGTAACTGTTAACATTTGTACAAACAGGAAATGTTCTCTTGATTACTTTTAACTTTCTTCGGAATTACTTTTAAACAAAGTCTTTTTCGTGCTTTATACGACACACATCATTGGGTTACCACAAAAATTCCTAAATATGATTCAAGATATTAAAGTCAGTATTGACAATAATTGTTGGTCGCTCAGTCATGTCTGACTCTTTGCTACCCCATGGGCTGCAGCCTGTCAGGCTCCTCTGTCCATGGAGTTCTTTAGGCAAGAATACTGGAGTGGGTAGCCAGTCCCTTCTCCAGAAGAGCTTTCCAACTCAGGGATAGAACCTGGGTTTCCTGCATTGCAGGTGGATTCTTCATGATCTAAGCCACCAAGGAAGCCTACTGACAATAGTTAAGGGAAATTTTCTATAAAATATGTTTTATGTAAAGACCTTAACATACTGATATGCAGAGTCATTACAAATCAATATATAAGACAAGTAACCTAATATCAAGATGGGCAAAAGAGATGAATAGATAATTCTAAACAGGAAACATAGTCAAACATTTGAAAAGATGGTTAACAATTAAACACAATAGGAAGCAATGAGTTATTTTTCACCTACTGAGTTGGCAGAGATTGTGGATATTTAATGTTACTGAGGATATAGGGAAATAGACATTTACATTCCCTTGGCAAACACATTGATATAACTTTTGGGGAAGGCCGTTTGGGAATATCTATCAGAATTTTAAGTGTGTCTATTTTTGATCCAGCATTTCTGCTTCCAGAAATACATCCCACAGATTTATCCATATGCCATCCACTTTATCACTGTATTTGTGGAAACTGGAAACAGCCCAAATATCCTCCAATAGGGATAGGAAAAGTCCATGCAATGAAATATATGGAGATACATGAACAAATGATATAGATTTATATGAACAGATATGGAAGATGTGCCCAGATAAGTTGTCAAAGTGAATATGCACGTTGCAGGACAGTATGTTTAATATGACCCAATATGTATTAACAAATCACACAGTTATGTGTGTTGGTATACACACTGGTACACATATTAGTATTTGCATGAAGAAATTGGTCCCTGAGCCACGGACCACCCAGTCTGAGACTCATAAGGTATGAAATCATGTGTGAAGGCTTATGCTGTCCTCCAGGAGGGCATCTATGTAGTTCCTAGAATTCAGCATAAAGTGAAAATGGGGTACACATGTGACCACTCTCTTTTACATATGATGATAAAGGATATTCCCTCTTCCTTTCATGCTACACCAGTGAAGAACAAAAGCTCTGGGCTCAATATGTTATTCACTATTATTATTTACTTATTAATCATTTGCTATATCAGTGTGTTTGTTTTCTTCCAAAGGATTAAGGTACTAAATGTTCAATGAGAAAATAATACAAATAGTTACTAAACTATAGACCATACAAGGAGCAGAATCCAAACGAGGACAAACTTGTAAGGAATTTTGCTGGAGGTTGTGTTTGCCTAATTTGTGGAGATTATTCATTGAAAACATGTAATGGGTAAAATAGTCCTGTTAGCTGAAACTGAATTCCCCTAAAACCGAGTTCCCTTACTGAGTTTATGACTAATCTCTCTATCCAAATCTTTGTTCCCTTTATTGTCCCCTTTGACCTCAATCCTATGCTAACTGAATACTAATCCTACCAGTGTCCGATGACTAAAATATATATTGCCAATAATCATTGTTAATGTACTAAAATCACTAGTATGTGTTTTCGTCGTTAACATACAAACCCAGGTTGTTTCTTCAGGGCAAGATGAGCTAACAGACTCCTGAGCCATGGACCACCTGGTCTGAGACTCACAAAACAGAACATCCTGACCCCCAAAACTATGATTAAGAAATGTCACAAGCCAATTCATATCAGTCTTTGTGCTTGCCCTTAAAACAAAAAAAAAACCCTAACTTGAAGAAAAAGTGGGAATGAATCTGAGGCTTGCCTCCCACTCCCTTACTTGGTGCCTGGCAGTAAACCCTTACTTGGCTGCAAACTCCGGCTGTCAGAATTTGGCTTTCTGCACTGTGGGCACATGGGGTCTAGATTTCAGCACTACAGAGACAAAATCCCCCATCAGAAACCTTTTGGGTCAGAAGTGCTGTGAACAGGTATCACAGAACATACACCATATATTACATAATACCCACCTTTAAAGTTTGGAGAAGTAACCCAGTAAGATGCCATTATTATTACAGTAAAAATAACTCAGTTGAGTCTTATTATAAAGGTTTTTTTTTTTTGGTGTTACTTCCAAAATTTGAGGCCTGATCTTAATATCTACAATATTTTATTCAAAAATCATAGATATTTACTATGCTCCGTGAATCTTTTAAAGCTGTGAGCAATATAACTTAAAAAATTTTTTATTTTATTGAAGTTTAGATGATTTACAATGTTGTATTAATTTCTGCTGTATAGCAAAGAGACTGTGTTATACATATATATATATATTCTTTTCCATTATGGTTTATCACAGGATATTGAGTGTGTAGTTCCCTGTGCTATACAGTAGGATCTTACTATTTATCCATTCTATATGTAACAGTTTGCATTTGCTAGTCCCAAACTCTCACTTCATCTCTCTGCCATCCCCACCTTGGCAGCCACAAGTTTATTTTCTGTATCTGTGAATGTAGATAAGCTCTATTGGGTCATATTTTAGATTCCAAATATGTGATATTTATGGTATTTATATTTCTCTTTCTTACTTCACTTAGTATGACAGGCTCTAGGACCATCCATGTTGCTGCAAATAGCATTATTTCACTCTACTATTAATATATATACACACATGCACACACTGCATCTTCTTTGCTTATAGCTATGTAAAGAAGCAATGAACAATATTTTGGGGGGTATTTTTAGTGTCCTGAGGGGTTGGAAGGGAGATTTGGTTTGACTCTGGCTTGAAAGTCCACTCCTCTGACTCCTGAACCTCAGAGAGGCAAAAACACAGGCCTTCTAGGGCCTATGCAAGGGTCTGGAGACAGCGCTCTGAGACCTGGACAAGGGAGAAGAGCCTACATCTCATCCCAGGTGGCAGCTTGAAGAAGCTGAGAAAACAGGTTCTTGAAGTCTCCAGTCCATTCCCAGCAGAAAGGAAACTAGTGGAAGCGTGTTCTGGGGCCTCCTTGATGGAAACTAGAAGGACAGGCCTGAGGGTGAAAAGACAAGGTCGTGACTGAAGAGGGGTGACCGATATTTGACTTCTGGATGACCCATATAAGGAGCCCAACCTCATTCTTCAGATCAGATGCCAGGCTGGGGAGGGGGGGGGTCTTGGTTCCACTCATGAGCTGGAGATAACTGGGCCCACCACCACATGCATACAGTGACCAATCATCAAGTTTGCACAGGATGGTCCCAGTTTATACCTGTAGTCCCAGCATAGTTATAAATAATACTTCCTTCTGCTCTCAGAAGTGTCTCAACTTTAGTGATAGAGTATCTTGTTACCCACAGGGTAGGTAATGAGTAGGTAGGTTCATCCTAGAGATAGGAAAGAAAATTTATTCAGAATAGTCCGAGGCAATGTGACGCAAGCATCTACATTACCATCAAGGACGAGAGCTTAAGTGGTAGCTGTGAAGCGAGCCGACCTGAAGCTCTACTAGTGCAATAAACAGGAAAACAGAGAGGTGGTGACCAGCGTGGAGAAAGGGGGGTAGTAAGGACTGAGCTAGGCAAGGGGTCAGAACCATGATGGTTACTAGCAGGGGATGGGGCCAGGGTGAGTGGTGGTGGTTACATATGGTGCCACTTTCTGGCTTATGGCTTCACACCAGACAGGCCAGTACCTCCAGATACCATCTAAATTTTCAGGTAACTGGCAATCCTACCAAAATAGAGATTTCTCTCCAAATCCAAGTCTCTTCCCAGCCAACTCCATCAGATCAGTTCTCAGAGGCACCTTTTCCGACTAATCTTTCTACATAATCCTTCTCCTCTCACTGGTACACACATTCCTTTGTCCTCCAAACACCAGGCTTGCCTTTGGTTTTAAAGTTACTCTACTTACTCTCCTGGCATATTATATGTTTCCTCCACATGTCTATCTGTTTGCTCCACTAGAATATAATTTACCTGAAGAGGCCAGGAACCTGAATCACTGCAATCTCAGTGCTTATGAGTATTTGAGCAATGCATATTTACTGAATAAATGAGTCGTACATTATTGCATATTAACAGAAAATAATTCAAGCTTCCTGTCACTTAACTGAGATGTATTTAGACAGGGAATGAAGAAATGACACAAAGGAGGCAATTTCAGAGTGCTTCCTTGGGCCTTATTTGTACAATCCACTCAATAAACGGGAATTCCTGGGGCTAGAGGGAAAATGCCCAAGCGCAGCCCAGGATTGAGAGTTCACAAACAGCCAGAGTCAAGAGGCACGAAACCCTAAGGGAGACGAGAAGGAACCAACGACAAATTAAAAGACCGGGGAACATGGCCTAGACTTCTCTCTGTGGAACCGACCATTCACAAGGGCCTCAAGGAACTTCTTAGCCCTTGATCCTCTCCCCAGAAAACAGGTCCATGAGAGAGGAGTGATGTGATGCTTGAGGTACGAGCAGAAAGGGAAAGGGAGTGAGGTTAAAGGAGAGCCCCCCACTGCGTATCTAAAAGTGTCTGAAGAATTCGACGCCCACTGGGTCTGTGTTAACCTATGTGCAGGCACACGGTCAAGCGGATGGAAGCCTGAGGCCATCCTGACATGGACAGAGCCCCCAAGTTACCCATGCCTGATTCACAGAGGTTGGTGCTGGGGTGTCTGTCTGATGTCCCATGTCACCTAGAAGAAATACTGAGAACCAGGCCAGGACAAAATCTTAAGAGTTTTTATTACTTTATATAGTTTCAGAAGATACTCAAATGTATAAAGAAGTAAATGAGGAAAACTGATTGACAGAATGC